GGGACTCTGAGATCTGGGCATAACACTCCTGACCTTGAGAATTCACCTCAGTGGGGATGGGAAGGACTTCGGTGTCTTCAGAGACTTGCTCTGCATGTTGGGGGACAGTGGGGACACTAAGTATCCCTGAATTTAGACATTCTCTGTGAGAGGGGGTGTTTCTTCACAAATCTCTTTTCACAGTCCTTTGATCAAGGGACGAGCTGTCACAACCTCAAACGCAGGCAGAAAGCAGTCCCGGACAAAAGGAATGCAACCCCTTCTCAGTGTCCGGGTAGTGATTCACAGCTGCCAGAGCTCCAGTTTCCCCTGAGTTCCCAGATGGTCAGGAGAAATCCCCCAAGTGTGTGTGTGAGTGTGTGTGAGTGTGTATCTGAGTGTGTGTGTGAATGTGGACATCTGTGGGTATATGAGTGTGTGTGTGAGTGAGTGCAAGCATGTGTATGTGTGTGTGTGCGTCATGTTGCATATATGTGGTGTAGGCTTGCAAGTTTCCAGGTGCCCATGCCCTCATGTGTGAACATGGAGGGTAAAAGAAGGTCCTCACTGAACCAGAGGTTCACGGCTCTAGCAAAGATGGCTAGCTAACAGGCTACTGAAATTCCCCTCTGGGATTATAGGACACCCAGCCATGCCTAGCTTTGTACATGGGTGCTAAGGTTCAAACTCAGACGCCCATGCTTGTGCAGAGAGTGCTCTGATCCACTGAGCTATCTCCATGGCCCCCCCAAATTTCCCAATTTTTAAACACAGGAAAATAATCACAATTTTAAGCGCCAGGTATGTATTAAACAGCGAATGTTTACAAACGCTGCTTTGCAAGCATGGTTTGATCCTTGAATTTTGAAGGTTCCTACGTATAAGGTCTTGGCTTCAGGTAGACCATTAGTGTGAGAAAAAACAAGGGGTGGCCCAGCGAGAGGACGTTGCTGCATTCAGTGTCTGAAATGGAGATGGGAAGCCACAGAAGGCAAAGGTTTCCATCCTCCAAACCCGAGGCTCTTTCACATAAACATCCATAGGCAGAATTGGTCAGGGCGGGTCAGGCTGCTCCAACCCACTACTCACGAACTTTTGATTTTTAACACACTCAACACATCCCCTGATAAACATCCCCTGATACTGGGCCCCAAGTATAAGGGCCCAGACCTACTTCACGACCAGGTTACATATATACATACACACACACACACACACACACACACACACACACACACCCCTCAAATCTTGCTGTAAGGTTTTCCCCCTCCTGACTCCTGCGTGCTGAGATCCAAAAATGGAGGCCAAGAGAGACAAGTAGTCTGATCTTGCCATGAGCCTCCCTGGCCATGTCATGTCTTTATTCAGGCGTTGGGGTGGAGCTCAGATTCCACGGCTATACTAGGCAGAATGGGTTACTGTCTTTTCCTTTTCATCTCTCTGCCTCAGACCCCTTTTCCCTCTCTTTACCCATTGATTCTAGGAAGGAAGCCCACGAAGAGGTTCTCTGTGAATGCAGCATCTTCCATGCTGATCCAGCAGATAGACTACAGTTTCCTTAAGAGGTGACAGGAAGCCCTCTGAGGCTCATGTCATCCATGTGCTGATTAACATAATCCCAGTCGTGGTGATAATCTCACTGGATCTGTGGCAGGAACCCAGGTAAAGATCGCAACGGCTTCAGGAGAGCCTAGCAGCTTTGAGGCCCAGAGAACTGAAGCTCACGATAAGGCTGTGTGCTCATGATAGGGACAGGAAGTCCCTGAAGCCCTGGGGCCTATCCTAGAGAATACTTTACCTCTGAGGTGTAGTCAGCAAGGACCCAGGGAAACACAGGATACTGCATGTAGTCATTGTAGGTCCTTCCAGCCAGGATGTTGAGGTACATGAGGTATTCAAAATTGCTGAGCTCCCTTTTCTGTCAGAAGAGACAAAGGGGGACAAGTCTAACACATCTGATAGCCATCTGAGGCTATGGGGACCTCACCCTGACCCCCAACAGGAAGCCTAGACTGCAGGAAAACAAGCAGGTGGCACCTAAGTTCTTTGTCCACATCTTCTACAGGAGCCATCACCATGCAGGCTAGCACCCACTGAGCTGAGTGTGAAGGGAAGCGAGCATATTTAGGAAGCTATACTAGCCAAAGAAGTAGTAGACCAGCAATCCAAAGCCAAGTGGGACATCAAATGCTGACCGAATGCCAGCACAAATGCTGGCTGTGAACTCATTGCTGATCCTCTCACCGTTAGAAAAATGAGCTAAAAGATGGTAGCTACAAAGAGAGGAGTCCTCACTGGTCCGCCTCTGATGCTCTGGGAAGGGCTTTCCTTGTTGTCTTCATCAGGGTAACACTCAGGGCTCTCTGGCTTAAGCTGAACGTGCACAGACAGAGGTACGGGCTCCGTGTGGAAGGATGTGCAGGACTGACCTCTTTGGGGTCTCTTCTGCACTGAGAGCTCCAGACTGTGACTCATTCGTGCTGGAGCCATGCATGTCTTCCTAAGAAGTGACTTGCATGACACCCTCCTCTCCCCAGCATGAGCATGTGTGCACATTTGCAAGGAAGGGAGGATGGATACACATAGAGGCTCCTATACATCCTCCACTTCCTACTCCAGTGCGCAGAGGCTAATCTTCCATCCCTGAGATCTTGTCAGAGAAAGATCTGGAACTTAGCACATTTAAAGCACAAACTTCCTCTGAAATACATGGCACAGATCCTCTTAACAGATCTGGGTCGTTTCTGCTTATATCCTGCAAGTCCCACCACCACCACCACCACCACCACCACCACCACCACCACCACCACCACCACCAGGGAATGACTATACCTGCCATTTCTGCAGCATGGTCCTATCGAAGCCCGGGTGTCTCCTGTGGTACAGAAAAACACAGTGTGATCAAATGTCCTAAGACATGACCTTGAATATGGGAGATAGGGCTTCCTGGGGATTTGGGAGGCCAGGGTATTCTGGAAATCCCCAGTCTTCCACAAACATGTGACAGCTTTCAGAGGCCAGCACAGATCAATCATTTTCTGGGCTCATCTTGCTTACCCTGCCGACTGAGGTTAGTATTTTACAGCCACCATCATTATACACAGTACACACATTCTAGAACATACTGTTATCAAGTGTAACCCAACATGTCTCCAGACCTCACTCACTGTCCCTCCTGGTTCTCACGGCTCCATATGACGTAGTCTCCCTGGCCCCACACATTTTCTTAGATGGCAAATATAAATATGCATGCAACTCAGGAAAAAAAAATGTGAACATCATGAGGGAAACTATACAACATAGGTCTTCAAGCTACTGTTTGAACCTAACAAGCTTAATTAACAACTTGTACTCGTGTTGGCACAGAAAGCGTTTCCCACGCATATGTCCATATGCTTGTGTATCTTGTGTTTAATTGATCAGACATGGGCTCAGGTTACATGCACAAGTTCCCCCACCTCACATGTTCAACGAGGCTCCTAGAGACACACTCACGCTGCCCTGGGTTTGTGTTGCAGCCTCAGGACTGTGCCACATGAGTGGGTTTCTAGCTGTGGCACTAACAGGTAAGGAATATTTTGTCCTTTGTCACACATTGTCAAACCCTTCTCTCACACTTCTGCAGCTAAGACATACAGAGCCAAGGAAGGCAAGAACAGTGGTTGGCCCAGCTCAAAGTGGATTGAAAAGTGCATCAAAACACGATGTTGGGAGGGGTGTGGGAAAGGAGCCCTGTCCCTTGTCACTCACCAAGACTTGTAAAGCTCAATTCTTCAGCCTCATTGCTGTCCCTTCCTTCCTTTGCCACCTGTTTGTCTCCATGCCATAGCCATGAGAGTTCTATTCCACCCTCAAGATCAATTCTCGGCTCAAGATACTCCACGAAGCCCAAACCACATCACATCTCCTCAGACTGCCCATATTTTTATGAACTGCTCATAAATGCCAACACCCACAATGCTACCTGCCATGCTAGGCCTTCCAGGACTGCCCCCTCCCAGACCTCAGCTGGAACAGGCCTGGATGTCAACAAGTCCCCAGAAGAGACAGCACTAAAGCCTTAGATTCACAAAGATAAGGTAGGTGATAAAGCATTTTCTTTAATTGTGCCTAATGCAAAGAGACTAAATGTTGTAACTGGAATTCTTGCCTGATAACCGTTTTATTATGTGCAATTTTACTATGTTAAAGTTAAAACCTTCCTTTTAATTAGAAAAGGGGAGATGATGTGGGATGTCCTTCCGTATTTGTTTGCTTTTGGTTAATGAATAAAGTTGTTTCAGCCAATGACTTAGCAGAGTAAAGCTAGACAAGATGTCCAAACAAAGATACACACAGCGAGAGTAGGCAGAGTGGAGGAGACACCACATAAACAAATAGAAATGGCTAATTTAAAGAAAGAGCAAGCTAGTAATAGCCTGAGCACGGGCCAGACAATTGTCACTGATATTAAACCTCTGAGTGGTTATTCAGGAACAGGCTGGCAGAGAGAAACTGGTCCGGGGGGAGGGGGGCCCAGCAGGACAGGGATACTCGAATTATACAGCATCTCATCATCTTCCCACTACAGCCCTACCACTGCAGCATCTGCCATGAGCACCCACCCCTCTGCATTCAATTTTTTTCCCTGATAGATTTTCTACAAGGGAGCAACTCCTGGGCTAGAATTCACCTCTTCTATGTGGTCCATTTTTCTCCAGGAAAACCACCAACACTCTGGAGGCAAAGCATTCTCAGGTTTACTGACCTAGCAGTAGAGCCTGTGTGAAGCCTCTTTTGGTTGTGAGGGTTCTATCTCTGATCCCGCCCTCACCCCCTCACCTGCCGTCACTTGCCTTCACCTCCTCCTGGAGGACAGTTTCACTGAGGGCTGTAAACGGGAGCAGAGCTAGGCTGGCAACAGTGACGGGTTGCTATTTGGAACTCTCAGGAACATTCCAGAGCCATAAGCATGGGACCTGGTATGCTGGAGACTTTCTAACCTTACCTTTTATTTTAGAATACGAAAGAAGAGTGATAATTTGGGGGTAAAATTTGGTCTTTCAGAGTTCAGGAAATGAAGAAGCCTCTGCCATCATTTCTTTTAGAAAACATTCTAGAACTCTGCTGGTCTTTGTGAGGTTTCTCTCAAGTGGAATGATGTTAGAGAAAAGAAGGCCTTTCCTAGTCCACAGCCCCAGATCACCGGCTATGAGCTCCAAGGAAGGTCCACCACGCCTGCTACCATCGTAGAAGAACTCCATTACCAATGGTGATAAGACATCTAGCCAAAAGTGAGTTCTACTTTTAAATATATTATTTCTCAATAATATATTGAAAACATAAGTCTGCCTCTTTAAGTAGTCCGTGGCACTGTTATCCATACCTGGTGACTGATAAAAGTCATTTCTTCCATTGATAAACTGCACTATCCATCATAATAAGATGTGTTCGGGAGTCAATACGATGTCAGATGTGGCTCCTGACTTTCTAAAGCCCCCCTGAGTTTCAGGAGAGGCAGCAATGGGAAGACATGTGGCTTCAGAGAGATGAGAAAACCTGGACTCACAGTCACTCTGCCCCATTTGACTAAGACACATGGACACCAAGACCATCTGAACCTTTCTTAGCTTGTACTTCCTACACACTAGTTGGACTTACATAGGAGTGTGGTGATCAAGTGTGAGCATCAGTGTGGATAAGGCTGGAGCAGGTGTGGACCCAGCATCCCCTATGGGTGTGATAGCACCAGATACTGGCATTCGTCAAGAATGGTGGCTTGACAGTTTTATGCTCAAGAAGGAAGAGAAGTGTGGCGGCCAGAGTGGGACCTGCTTTCTGATGAAGACCTGCTCCATTCTGCCCATCCCTTCTAGGTGATTCTGGAATAATGTATAACCTGTTCTTTCAATTCAGCTGACTCCCATAGTTCACTGGGAGTCTGAATGGAGTTACTAGGCATGTTTCTGGGCCCTTTGGCAACTTGAAACTGAGTTTAGAAGAACAGAAGTTCTTGGTTGAAGCTGTTAAAGATGAGAGAGTATGACCTTGTCTAGGCTGAGGGTGGTGTAGCTTGGTACCCACAGAAGACAGCCCATCTATCGCCTCTCCATCTCTAGGCATCAATATTCACTTTCTTCTGGATAACTTTCAAAGATGAAAGTACAATCTCTCATGAGCTGCATGATGGATCCACTTCAAATTCTCCCTTCTTTATTCTGAAGGGATTTCCAACTGGGCTTTCTCCATTTGTGATCACATGTTACCTTGGGGGCTTTCCAGACCCCAGGGGCTGTATAGATCAGTGCTCTGGGCTTGCTTCATGCCCATGCTGAGACTCTGTTGGTCTAGGATAGGCTCACCAGACCAGCATCCCAACAGCATTTGGAAGCCAATCTTCTGGAAGGGTGGTAGTGAATGGTACCCCAGCTGTATTCCAAGAACTTACATCTCTTTAGAGGGCTCAACAAAGCTCCCTAGAGTTGGGCCTTCAAACATGGTGGATTAGTCCCCAGAACAATCTTTCTTCCATTTACTTGACTACCTGGAATCTATATCCTCTCCACCCTTCAGGGATGGAACCTGGAGTCTCCTCCCAAGCTTTAACCCTAGGTCTAGTCCCAACTTGGAAGATATTCAAGGAGAGCTCAATGTTTAACATGGGCTTCTGACTCGAAGAAAAAACATATTCATGCCCAACTCCTATGCTGTTTTGTCTTTTAGAAAACAGTTGGAAAGACACGATAGGATGGGTTAGTAGGGAGCTGGGAGATCCGATTTTCAATCATCTAGAAAAAAAAAAGCCAATCCATAATGAAGAAGATTTACTAATTTCAGCAAACTGGAATAATATCTCTGCTGGTGGGTTTGTTGTGTGCCTCAGGACAGGGGAGCCTGTGTCCTGCCCAGTTCTTAGTCTGACAAGAACTGGTTCTCTGTGCCAAATGTTGCCAGGGACAGTATCTGCCATGAGCAGTCACAAGAAACCAAGAGGCGAGCATTGGAAATCTAATTCCCAAGTTGCCTTGTTGTTTGAACCCCAGAAGCAAATTCAGGTTAACCTGAACCCCAGTTTTCAGATTCAGGTAACAAATCAATAGAAATCAGTGAGGAGAACTCAGCATAGTGATTCATACATGTAGACCTGCCATGGGGAAGGCTGAGGCAAGAAGATCACAGAGTTTGAAGCTATCCTGGGCTAAAGAGTTAGACACTGTCAAAAAAAAAAAAAAAAAACAGAAAAGAAGAAAGAAAAAAAGAAAAAAATGCACAAGAAGACATATTTCTTTCAGACTTTTGCTTTGATTAGTGGCTCTTTCTCTCATGTCTTCTCTGTTCCCTCCTTAGCCCTCCTTAGCACACACACCTTGCATACAGTTCTAGACTTAATGATAGGATGTCATGGCTGTCTGGCCTGCTGCAGATTACAGGGATGTCTCACCTATTGTCTGACTTCCTACTACGGCCCACTTCCTCATCATAAGCGAAGACCATGCCTATTTCACTGCAACTACTACAGCTAGCTGCCAGAGTTACACCTGGCTTCCCTTTCTGTAAGAATTTACGTATCAGTACTTTAAAGATGTTTTCTTTATATATATATATCTTTTATGAAAAATTATTGATTTTGTGTTTTCATTTATCTTAATTTCAAGGCTTTTAAATTATGTTTTCTAACTTAAGTATTCATATATGTATGTATATATGTATTCAAATTATAAATATACCATGCAGTAAAATTTTGAGTATTTTTAATTTTTTCTAATTATATTTTTAATTCAGTTAAGTAATTTATTGTGTAGATTCAGGAATGCATTTTATATTATCTTTAGGCAAAAACATAAAATAGTAGTATCATGACATCAAGATCTTTACTTAATGGCAAATTTTCTTTATATTTTTAAATTAAAATTAGTTCAGTTTGCTTCTCTATAAATTTTTTTAATTGTTTGGATCAATTATAGATCAATTTTAAAATATTTTACTTAATTGCTAGCCATGCTATTTGTTTTCTAAATCATGTTCAGTTAGAGGAATTAACACTACAATAATAATTTTGTTTCTTCATGTCATTCCTACAATGTCATTTTCTTATTTGCAGAATGATGTTAATACTTGTTGGTTGACTGATTTTCTTAAATACGAGAAATTTGATCTAAAGCAAAGGTTCTTAACCTGTGGGTCACAACCCCTTTGGGGTCAAACAACCCTTTCACAGGAGTCGCCTAAGACCACCAGGAAACACAAATATCTACATTACGATTCATAACGGTAGCAAAGTTGCAGTTAAGGAGTAGCTATGGAAATAATTTTATGGTTGGGGGTCACTACAACACGAGGAACTGTATTAAAGGGTCGCAGCCTTAGGAAGGTCGAGAATCACTGACAAAGTTATCAAACAAAGCCAATACACAGGCAGGTATGTGAACTGCAGCTGTGCTCCTGGTTGGTTCAGCGTGACACCATCCAGGTCAGGCTTGGATTAGTGCATTAGGTGAAGATACAGATCCCTGGGACAGCACAGCAATGCTGGCTGAGAACAGCTAACATGATTGCCTGCTTGTGTGACCGCATGAGCACTGGGGTTGCTTTGCTCCAATCGGGTGAAAGAAAAAAATAAAGCTGCAAGAGAAGTCAATAAATTCAAGTAAATAAACATCAAAAGGACAGCCCTCCCACAACAGAAGAGCAGGAAAACCCACAAATACACGGGAAATAGGAAGGAACTCGAACGATAGCTCTTGGGGCTGAAGGCTACTGAACATGGCTTCCCTTAAAGTGTGCCATGTGAACTGTTCAGTGTCTGCTGGGGCGGTTGCCATGGAAAGTCTCTTCCTTGGAAACTCTCACCCTCTTTCCCCACCCTGCTGCTTGAAGCCGGGGAAAACACACACAGATCAGGTTTCCTCTCCCTGGGAGACTAGTAAGCAACCTCAGCCTTTTGCCTTTCCCTTTCCCTTTGTAGGCTGGGTCAAGATTATGCTAATTAACTCCAAGTCCCAAGACCCTTGTTGCCTGGTGACAAAGTTGCACAGTGGAGGAGCACCAGGAGGAAAGGCAGGTAAGGTTTGCTCCTTGGTGGCCTGTGCCTGCTCATCTACCCCAAATCGGCTTCTCTCTGCTCTCAGTAAACAGCTCGCAAATGTCTGCTTTGCCGGCTGCCTCCCTACAGAGCCCAGACACCAGCTAATGCATTATTTAGGGGAGGAGGCCACACACCCTGAGCCCTGGCCAGGACAAACAGCTAGCTGGGGATACAGGCTGGTTTTCAGGTGTCTGGAGCCATGAGTAAGCTTGGCAAGGGAGACATGGAGCCACAATTTGGTTCTTCCTAAAAGCTGGGTCTCTCTGGACATTTTTTTTTTTTTTTTTGCTGGCTCATGGCAGGCGGAGGTAAAATGCAGGCTCGGAGAGGTCAAGAGACTTGGACAAAGTCACACATAGAGGAGCAGAGCAGTGACTGGTCCGGGTAAAAAAGATACATTGTCCTCTGGGTTTGAGTGTCAGCTTCCAGAGCAGAAGGGAGGGGCTGAGAAAGCCACCGTGTCCCACAGAGTCCTGGAGTGCCCAAGCTTGTCTATTCGTTTGTCAATGCTGGTGCTTGGTGCCACTAGCTTCTCTGTAGGTCTCCATAGAGTCTCTTGGAACTGGGAGGGGGAGAACTTCATACACTGCCCCCTTCTGTTGGCAGAGTGGCCAAAAAGTGAAAGCCAGGTGATCTTTCCAGGTACCTTTCCCTGTGCCTACAGAACACAAGGTGCGTAACTGACAGGTGACCCACTGTGATAGTCACCTCAGTTTATCACAAGTTTGATCCACTGCCAACTGTGGATCAATGTTTCCCAGCTCTCTCTCAGTCTCAGGTAATGAGACTTGTCTAATACCATGGCTAAGTGTGTGACACACACATGCCTTTGAGCCATGAGGAAAGGCCTTGTACAAAGTCACATATAGGGCTGGAAAAACATTCCCACATCACTTAGCTGAGCTCCCTCCAGCTCCTAGAGAGGGTAATGCATCAGAAGCTTGCCTGCTGGCTCAGAAAGCCAAATGCATTGCAGTTCACTGTAAAGTCAAACTTCTATTGACAAACCAGTCAGAAGCTAGGTTCACAGCACAAGGAAACAAGAGACGCGGGCTCTAAGTTAGTAGTGTGTGACTGATAAAGGACAGGCTGTCAAGCCTGGAGGTTTCTTCTGGGAAGTGGGGTGTATATGGGTTAAATGAGCTGGGGCTCACAAAGCACGCAGACATAACTTATACCCCATAAAAAAGGGGAGTGGGGTGGAAAAGGAATAGTAAATGCCAAGGCCCCTAAGGCTCCATCAACTGCTTATACTACAGATATCAAACCTACCTCTGGGCACACATTGCCTTCCTCTGCCACTACCCTGTGTGTCTTTTCCCTTTTCCTGTCTTCCCAGCAGCCAGTTATTCCTAGCTAGACTCAGGCAGGCCTGCTCCTAAGGAGGTACCCACCCACCTCTCACACATACTAAGTATCCTTTGTGTCACATGCCTTTTGTACCCTGAGATCTTTCCACAGCCTGTAAATGTAAAGAAACTCACCCACCTCAAAGTCCCATCTTAGCAGGAAGTGGGTAACCACAGCTATAGTCCTTCTCTTTCCTCCATGTGCCAGGCCCCGCCCACATTTTGTTCTTCCCTGTCTCCATCTCTTCATTCTCTTTTCTTCAAGATGCTCTCACAGCTCCCTTACCAGCCCAGGCTTCTCCCAGCTCTCAGGACATCTGTCATGGAGACATCCCTCTCCCTGGGCTATTATTCTTCCTCCAGTCTTCTCATGTGATGTCTCCTAAGCATTCAAGTAACAGGCCAAACGGCACCTTCCTAGAGGGGACTTCTCAGTTCCCCTCTGAGATTAGCCATCCCCATCCGCCAATATCTGCATCCTAACTCCAGCCCTCTCTACTACACAATCACTTCTATCTTCTGCAGAGCATCTACACCATTGGAAATGGCCCTGGCTTTCTTGACTTGATTGCTCAGCAAGTGGGAAATTCATGAAAACCACAACACTGTCTGCCTTAGTCATTCACTGCCTGTCTCCTGACCTGACCTATAGCACAACCCCAATAAAAACCGATGTAGGGATGGATGAACAAATGAATGAATGATTCGCTTGCACTATACAGAACTCTAGAGATTAAAAGCAGTAAATGTATCTATAAGTTGCTTTTATATTCTTATAATGCTGGTGATAGTAACAGTATGCATTTAAAAATTGCAGTGGTTTCATTCGGGAGTCTGCAAAGACTGTTTCCCAAACCTACACCTGACATAATAGACCAAAGATAGTGTCCAGGGTTGCTGGTGGGAGGGAGGAGATGGTGAATGCCAGGTTAATCTCAGTCCGCAGGAGCTAACATCACTGAGTACCCACCATAGTCCTTGGCATATACGAATCACCATATTTCTTTCCTTCCTTCCGTCCTTCCTTCCTTCCTTTCTTCCTTCCTTCCTTCCTCCCTCCCTCCCTCCCTCCCTTCCTTCCTTACTTTCTCCCTTCCTCCCTTCCTTCTTCCCTTCTTCCCTCCCTCCCTCCTTTCGTTCCTTCATTCTTTCTTTCCTTTTAACAAATTACAGCTTACTGATGTGTTTTGAAGATAGGCAAACTGATTCCAGACATGTTACATGGCCAGAGTTGAGAATGCCAGCTCCTGTTGCCTGCTCCACAGTGCTCTCATATACACCTGGAAAGGGACAGACCACATGGTCCCAGTACATGAGAGATCTGAGAAGTTGCCCTCACTAAACACAGCAGAAATAGTTGACATCATTCTTGGTAACAGTCATGTCTTTCCAAAGTAATCAGGAAGGGTCACTCATATGTTTAACATCTTAGAGTCTTGCTCTCTCTCTCTCTGTCTCACCCACCCCCACACACACACACACACATACACACTCATGCCTACACACACATACACACATGCCCACACACATACATGCCCACACATGTACACACTTTAAACAGAGTAGAAAAGTGACCAAAATTTGTGGAACATGAAAAAAATGTCGTGTTTGCGAGTGTATGTGAACTTTTCCATATACATTACAGAGAATCCAGAAACTGCCGACAGCAATACTGTACTTTCCAGAGGGTATGATTGTTGCTGCTGGCTGCTTTTTCCATTGCTACTTCTCTGTGTGTGTTTGTGTGTGTGTGAATGTACTCATAAGAGCACTGGGCTCATATGGACATTTAATACTTTCTTGCTGACACATCTTAAACATCCTCCCTTTTGGAAAAAAAAGGGTTTTGCTTTATTTTATATTTGATTCATTCTGTGACCATACATTAATTATTCACCAATCATCTTTTATTTGACATTTTAGCTGCTTTTTAACTATTTTGTATGCAGGAGTTCTATCTTTGTTTTCTAAAGAGGGGATCTTAGAAACAACTCCATCCATTCCCAATGGCTGGGTGCATCTCTCCTGTTTTCTGCACCATCTCCTCACTCCTTCCCCATAGGCAATCTCTCCCTCTGGATGTTTCTCCTTCTCTTCCAGGTTTAACTCCGTTAAACCAGCTCCAGCTATGGTACTAACAAGCCCTTCCAGAACACTCTCTTCTGTAACCACACACACTACCATAGGGCTGGAGAGGTGGCTCTTTGATTAGGCGCACTTGCTCCCAGAGGACCCAAGGGTGGTTCCTAGCACCCTTGCTAGGTGGGCTAGGTCAACCACCTGTAACTCCAGTCTAATGGATCCAACACCTACTTCTGGCCTCCATCATTATATGTCATGTACACAAATTTAAAAATCTATAACTAAAAAAAAAAACCCATAGTATTCCTGACCCCAAGAGCATCACACGCAAGGCTGGCCATCATTTTCAGTGATTAGCCAATACTCGAGTGCCTGAGTCTCCTTCAAACCACAAAACTCTGAAAAAATATTGTGTTCCAGGAATCATTTTAACATGGATGGAAAAACAATGAATCAAGTTAATTATACAGGGCCAAGATGTGTTGGGGCACAAGCAAAAATGCATGTATTGCAGACCCCATGTGATATGAGCCCTGCGCACCTCCATGGGTCCTCTTGTCGTCCAGGATGGAGAAAAGCCTAGGTGACAGGAATGGCTGCCATAGTGCATCAGTGATCCTCAGCCTGTGAGCTGTGACTCTTGAGGGGGAGGGCCAAAGGACCCTTCACGGGGGTTGCACATAAGATATCCTGCATATCAGATACTTCCATTATCACTCATAACGGCAGCAAAACTACAGTGATGAGGTAGCAACGAAATAATTTTATAGGTGGGGGTCACCATAGCATGAGGGACTCTATTAAAGGGTCACAGCCTTTGGAAGGTCGGGTACCACTGTGGTACACGGGAGTGTCAGGCCGCAGTTTGTAGGGGATTTCTACCCAGCATGGGTGCACTATGGGCAGTTTCTAGCCCACTGTCCACGCCCGTCTCCCTGCTCCTCATGCTCTTCCCTTGTATCTCGGCACCCCTGCCCTGGAATCAGTCTCTGTGGTGTCTATTACCAGCGTAAAGCTCATGAGGCGCAGAAGGCTGTCCAGCTTCACGTGGAGGATGAGTGGGGACCACGCGGTTAGCACCCTGGGCGAACAGCTCTGGACATCTCCCCGCTCTACCATACTGCTTCACTGAACCCCAATTTTCTGCTTTGCAAGAGGAGGGGTGACTGTAGCCAAAAACAAAAAAACAAAAAAAAAAAACAAAAACAAATAGAAGCAACTTCTGCCTGCAAGAGCAGACCTTGAAACCCCGTTAGAAGCTCACTGCTAGGGTCTGGAAGCACTGGGTTGACATGAGCCCTTTGTCCTCTGCTTGTGTTCAGGCTGGTTTGCGTGTTTGGAACATGTGGTTGATGAACAAGGCCTTTCTAGTCTGTTAAACTAATAATCTTAAAATTTTATTTTAATTGTAAGGCACCTATTCCCTCTTGTTCCTTTAACAAATCCAATTAAAACAGAGTACATTCAGAATTACAAAATAGATGCTATTAAACCAATAAGAAATCATAATCTTTTGTTATGGGGCCATGTGACCCCTGGGGAACT